TCTCTCCCTCGAGGGGAAATTTCGAAAAATCCCTTCTTAGTGTGCGTTTTCATGACGTACTCTAACTGTGTACCAAATTTCACCTCTTTAGGTTCAGCGGTTTGCTCTGGACAATGATGAATCAGTGAGTCAGTCAGTCAGGACAAGCAATTTGATATATTTAGATATATATAGGCCTACATTATAATAATTTATACATACAGATATATTTAAAGAACATACAAACAGATATACGCACACAGACATAGGCTAGGCCTAAAATGTTTACCTTTGTACTTTTATCATCTATGTGTAGTTATTAAACATCAGGTATTAGTAAACAATATATATCTGTATACATTTTTGAATTATTATTCTATTTTATTTTCACAATTTTCAATATTTAATTAAATATTTACTTGTCAATTTAATTAAAAATTTTTTATTACGATTTAAACCTAGAAAGTTTAGCATTTTAACCTGATTTTAGTGTAAAATGTGTTCTAGATCAGGGGTATCCATCCCGCGGCCCAATAAACGTGTAAACAAAACCGACAAATGTTTTAATTTGTTTATTATTTATTTATTTCAACGGCATAAACTCAAAGCCGTAAACCTTTATTCATATTTTATTTTTGAGTGGAAAGGAAATATTTTCAAATACTTGGAGCTGTGTGAATGAGGAAGAATTACTAAATAAAGCTGGAGTTATGACTCAAAGGATTACAGACCCAAATTTGGGGAAAGGAGGGAAAGGACAAAAGATAAAAAGTAGTCAGAAAGGTTAAATAGATCTGCTGTTATGCAAGCATTGACCCTTAATTTTTCAACCTTTCTCACTTCTTTATCTTTTGTCCTTTCTCTCCTTTCCCCGCATTTGGGGGGGAATAATCCTTTAAGTCACAACTTCAGCTTTTTTTAGTATTCCTACCAACATTGCGAGATTTGGCTACACTGCGCCAAATGTGGCCACTTTTTTTAGTTTGACGTAATAAATATTATTTGGCGCTTTGGCTACTTTTTGGGCTCCATATTATTTATAAATATATTAGTCGAATAAAAATGCACTTTAAAATGGTTTTTCGTCGCTTTTTATAAATTAGAGACCCAAATAAAACAAATATTTGTTTTTCTCAAATAAATTTTCGTTTGTCTCTTTTATAATAAATAAATTTCATTTATTTATAAATATATTAGTTGAATAAAAATGCATTTTAAAATGGTGTTTCCTCACTTTTTATAAATTAGAGACCCAAATAAAACAAATATTTGTGTTTTTCAAATAAATTTTTGTTTTGTCTTCTTTATAATAAATGAATTCATTTATTTCTAAATGAAAATTGAAAGTGTCTGTAGAAGTAATTTTTTAAAATATCCTTATTCGTAATAAAGGTTTAATGCTTATTACTATAATCTAGACATGTTAATTCTTAAATATACTTGTAGGGGAGATCGGGGCAAGATCGGCATGTTAAGCTTTACTTACATTTTGTGTAATAAATACTGCTGTAAACTGAAAAAAAAGCTTTGCATATTGTCTATTGGAATGTTACCTTACTATAGAACTGGTTAAAATCAGTTTGGAAATAAAAATAATTAAAATAATTACAACTTTACAAGAAGAGNTAGAAAATGTATGAAAATTTTAAGAATTAACGTTTAATTTTAATTGATATACGTGGTATATACATTATCATCTAAAATGTAAATAATATAAATATCTAAGATTTATTTTAAGTATATTTGCATTAAGCATTCATAAAAGTATACTTTATATTATACAAAATATTTAAAATTTTTACTTTTTTCTCTATATTCTTAATGTGAATTAAATTAAAAGTATTTAAACCAAGTTAAAAATATATAATTTCTATTGAATATATCTTGAAAATATTTGAACATTAATAATTGGTCACGCCTAAGGCCAATAGTCTAGATTCTTGTCGAAAAATACATCTCTTTTTCCCATCTAGAATGTTGTTGGTCTAGGCTATTAGATGACGTATTATGTCTCTGCAAAGTTTTGCCGCTGTTAATTGGGAGAAAGGGGCCTTCAACTGAAATGTTTCAAGGATTTCTAACTAAATAACATGCCATAAATTTGTTCCAATGTTGTTTAACTTTATCCAATATGTACTGTATAAATTTTTTTTTTGTTATAAACACGTGTACGGTACGTAGAATAAGATGACGTTAAGCAGGGATGTTTGTCTTAATTTATGACATTAGTGAACAAAAACTAATTTAGTTCATTAACAAGATTTATTTAACGTATTTGACACGTAGAGATTCTAGGATAACTCTAAATTAAAATATAATAGCTCTATTAACGAAAGGGAAGGTTACATTAAGGGATGCTTTCTTATTTAACTCAACTAAAAGCGTTAGATCTTATATAATTATTTTAAACTTTTTGGTAATAGATTTGGTTAAGAAATTAAATACAGTGTGGCCTAAAAGTCAGTTAACCGTATTACACACATAAATGCTCAATTGTGTATGTAGTAAGTGTTTGAACAAGATAGTAACTTAACCTTTGCAATGTCTAACTGACTTTTAGGACTTCTATGTAGTTAAATATACAAGGTAGTTAAAGTATTTATATTTTAAAATAGTTTACATTATACTTTTCTGATTGGTTTTAAGCTTTTTGTCCGTGTATAACTATTCTTTAAGCTCAAGTTCTTGCTTAAGTGTTTTAGGACATACACAAATGGCGAGGCTTTTAAACTGTAGGAAATATTTTCGTTAACAAAATAATTATCAACACTACAATTTAAGTCTCGTCATTAATGTATGACAAGTCCTAAAACATTTAAGCAAGAACTTGAGCTTAAAGAAGAATAATTATATTATACCTACTGTAAAGAATGTAACACATGCTTACAACGAAACTAACTTGTGTAAAATTTATGTACACAGAACTACCAAAAGTCAGTTAAACATTGTAAAGATTAAATTAGTGTCTTATTCAAATACTAAAATGTTCAATCTTGAATATAAAAAATATATANATTTCGGTTGCATCTGAAGATGGCCTGCACGCTTGTGAACATGAATCATAGATAAAATGAAACATAAATTGCAACGTGTTTTTGTTTTAGAAAACTGGTGAAAATCACACACACACACAATATATATATATATATTGTGTGTGTGTGATTTTCACCAGTTTTCTAAAACAAAAACACGTTGCAATTTATGTTTCATTTTATCTATGATTCATGTTCACAAGCGTGCAGGCCATCTTCAGATGCAACCGAAATTCGAACGTATTTTAACTTGGCATTTAAACGACAGAACGTTCGAACACTTTTACATTTAAATTTAAAACAAAATACTAAATTAACAAATAAATAACAAAATAAAACAAAATATAATAAATGAACTAATACAATAACGATGTAAGTAATATAATAAAATAAAAAATAACATGTAAAATAAAATAAAAATAATAATGAAATAAATACACAAAAAATGCCTCTAAGTATAAGTGCAAATGCGGGCTAAAAATTTTTGTCTTTTAGTTTTTATTTTGTTTTAAATTTAAATGTAAAAGTGTTCGAACGTTCTGTCGTTTAAATGTTAAGTTAAAATACGTTCGAATTTCGCTTGCATCTGAAGATGGCCTATCATATTGGGTCGAAAACGTTAATGTTTGTTTAATAAACATTTCTCAGCATCAGGTGTTTGATGATTCATTAAGTATTTTAAAGACCTGAGTACGATATTTAGTTACTAAATATAACACCGTTTAACTGACTTTTGGGCTACCCTGTATTTAATTTGTTAACAAAATCTGTTATCAAAAAGCTTAGATATTGCTTCTGTTCGGGTTTTGAACACTTTTTTTTGAATGAACTTAAACATTTAATTGAGGATTATAATCGTCTCAATTGGGAGATATAATTGTAAATCTTAAATTCGTAAAAATGTTTCTCTTTTAAATAATTTTTAAAGTAGTTAATTACTGTGTTGATTCTTAATGTTATAACATGCACTATTAATTAACTAAATATTAAATCAAAAAAGCAAAAATCAATGCAAGTAATAATAACGTAGAGTATACTCTGAGCTAAAATCTTGTTAATTTAGGTATGGATCTAACGTCTACACTCATACAGACAAGAGAGAAGTAGAAAAGTATGCTAATTTATATTGCATTCCATATAACTTTCGTAATATATTCAAACGTACTGTACAGTACATAAGCTTTCAAATTATTATTAAGAAATGTTTATATTATACAGCATTAAAATTATAAAAATCACAGACGTTCTTACGTAACTATAAAATGTTATATTCTATAAATTATGGTAAATTTATTTTACATTTAATCTAAAGTAAACCTAAATAAGTTACCCAATTTAAAAAATTCTAGAATATCCGGAAACGATAAATCACAATTAATACATATTATTTTGTACGATGATTTAAATCGCATATTTATAAATGAAAGCATGTTTTTTTCAAAAATTAAAATTTTTAATTTATATTTTATAAATAAAGACATTTAGTTACAAACTATCACAAACAATTAAAATAAAGAAAATATCTTCTTAGTTAAATCGAATATTAAAAATAAGCTTAAATCATTTGTAGAAATAGACTTTATCGACCTTTACAACCATTAAAAGCTCATTAAACCTTAGAAATTGTCATTCGATTCATCGAAACTTATCACAGTATCGCGTCAATATCAACAAAGGTATGATTTACTGTTTAATTTTAAATTAATTGCAGATAATAAACTACACCAAGAAAGGTTTTATTTTTATCGATCTCTCGTATAAAAGACAATACGAGAACATCTGGATATCACACCTGCTTTTTAACTACGTATAGAAGATATCGTCACGTGATTGGTGATACCAATAACATAATTAATATAATGCTAAATACATGTACTAGATATTACACGCATGAATTATGAGCAATAACAGGTTTTTTCTTTCTTTTTTTATATATATACCAATAGCCATTTTCTATAGAATTTCGCTTAAAGTAAGTATCAAACTCACCAGGATATTTTCTTTCTATCAGTATATTGTGTGCTGATATCGATACGTTGTCTACAGCAAACTGCTTTCCGTCTGTTCACTTCGACTTCTACTCTGTAATAATAATTAACATGGCTTGTTTTTGGCACGCGAACTTACGTGGTTACAAGGCGTTAGAGAAGCTTGATTTTCAAGCTCTCCTATCTCATTTCTCTCTCTTATACTTAAATAATCTCAAGAGTGTAATCTTCTGAAACGACTATAAGAAAACATTAAACGTCTATCGGCATTCTAACAACTTTAATCAACCATAACCGGTTAAAAAAATATATTTTCTCCACGTTATTTTTTTCATTAACTCACTTATGTAAATTACAACTTACTTTTTTAACACGTGGATTATCATTTTTTTTAAATACTTTTATGAAATTTTTTTCTCTCCTATATAATATGTGTAAATTACTAACTTATTGTACTGTACAAACATATAATAAGATGGAACTAATCAATTTGTTGATCCCATCTTCGATTTCATCCTATGTTAATTTTGTCTGTTTTTTTCGAATGATTGTCATCGTTCTGTTTATGTATCTGAAAGAATTAATGATAGTGGCTTCGATACAATAGAATATATATTAATATTTTATATAAATAAAATTTACATATACAACGAAACCTGTCCAAAACCGAACCTGAGTACAGCGGAAGCTGCCAAACCGGAAAAAATATTAGGTACCGTGCGATTGCATCTTACACAGGTTTTACTGTAAAATAATCCTAAATACGTTGAGAAATTATAATAAAAAATGGATTAAAAATTAAAATTTACGCCTATATACACACGTGCTAGTAAGAAAATTAAGTAAAGTCCTTTTATAATTATCACTCCTATATTATGCACACAGTACGAACGTTTTCTGTAGATGGGAGTAATAGTGCTAAGAAATGTTTTCGTAATTTTCATTTTATTCTAACGTGTACAGTAAAAGCTTCCGTTTGGAAGCTTTCCGTTTTAAACAGGTTTTTTTTTCTTTAAAATGGGAAATCGCTCCGTTTCGAAGAATTTTTTCCATTTAGGCAGGTTTCTGTTTTATTCAGGTTCCTTTTGGACGAGTTTTTACTGTGATGTACAGTACTGTACAGTATTCACGTAAATCTTACATTTTCGGTATTTATTACACAAATTTTGAAAACTTTATTATAATATTCAAGAAAAAAATATAATTTTATTAAAATTCTATATAAATAGATAGTAAGTTTTAACTATAAGTTTTTTACAGAATTAATTAAATATGTAAACATTTAAAATTTTCGCATCAGGACAACTAAACTGTATTTTTAATAATTTTATTCTATGATTTTCATTAATACTAATGAGGTAATTCATAGAATTATACTTTATAATTCTATTCTTGAATTAATAGACTGATATTAACTTTAGAATGAATTATATGTACTGTACTGTACAGTACATGTACAAACATAAAAATTCCAAGGTTATATCACATCATGGTAGTACTGTATATAACGCGTATAAAAGTACAGTACTGTACCGTACATACAATTTTAGTACTGTACATATCTATTTTTATATTTCTTAATGATTCTTTGAACCATTATTATTATTATTATTATTCTGATATCAGTTCCATGAATACTAATAAACCTATATTTTAATGCATAAAATTATGTAATGGTATAAATTAATATTTGCTACAAAACCGAAGATTTCGTTATAAAAAAGTAAAATTAATATCATAAAGCGAATAAAATACATAACATTTTGATGATTTTACTTATGATAAATGAAAATTAAATAATGGTAATTGTTCATTTAACAACCATTGAACGTGCATAAACGATTGGAAACTCAATTAAGGTAGAGTACTGTACAGTTAATAAGCTAATTAATTATATAGTTTAATTAAATAAAATTTAATTATTTTTTATTAGATTCATATTATTTTATCTTTAATTTCGCATAGAATGTGTTAATTTAATTATTTTCCAAAAGAATTTAAAGAGAAAGGGGATTTAACATTATTGGTAGCTTACAAGAAAGATAAAAGATGAAAAATTCTTTCATTAATTTAAAAAATTCTGCCTTTATAATCTAAAATTGACAGGAGAGAACTTTTAAAAATTCCTTCACATATTAAGTTTAGATTATAAACATATATTTATTTATTAAAACATTAAAATATTTTCATATTTTCTATTTGAAATATCATAGTTGATTTCAAATGTGAAGAAAATTAAAATTTATCATTAATTTATTTTATAAGACATTAACATTTATTGTAATTAAGTTATATGTGTACCCCTAAAATTCCTATAAAATTCCCTTTCATATATTGACTAACAAAAGAATTTACTATAATATGTTAATATGTCAAAGTTGAATGCTAAACGACTTTACTATAATGTGCGACATACATAATACTTAATTAAATAATAATTAATAATCGTTTATTTCCGTAATTAATATACACAAGATAATGTTTACGACACGCAATTAAAATATAGCGCACATTATACCACACGCATAAATTTTAATAATGAGTGATTAACTCTGACATTAAATATAAAACTACACATGAGGCAATATTGCATTAAAATACACGCGAATCATTGTAATTACGAAGTAAGATAACATATAAAAATATATTATATTTAAGATTATTATTAAAATAATAAATAAAACCATTCCTTTTGCGGTTTTACTATCAACTTCAACAAACCAAAGAGATTAACCTTAGAACAAAGGCATTTTTTCACTATATTTTTGTATTGAATGACCGTTAACGACCGATAGCCAATGGATATAATTATGTACCAACATGTTTAGGGACATATACCAGGTGGAAACATTAGGTTAAAGTCAAAATTTTAAGAAAAAATCTTTTATAATCACTATCATACAATAGCACCCTCCTCTTCCGATAATTTTTTGACTAGTCACTGATATTTTTGTTCATAGAAAGGTCACGCATTTATAAAAAATTCTTTTTGCTAAAGAGAGAAAAAATTCTAGTTCTTCAGGAAATGAATCATTAAAATTCCTTATACGGAGAAATTATTTAAATAATTTATAAGATGAGTGATAATATTAACAGATTATTAATACAGTATATGAAAATATGTGAATAAAAGTTGAGAAAATAACAATAGTCACAAATAAAAAATGAAAGAAATCTCTATTAAAATGATTATTTTTCTCGCATCAGTAATTTGGAAGAACGTCGTGAAATGAGGATTAAATCCTAAGAGAGGCATAAAATTCTGAAAATAATTCATGGTAAAGATTTATACCTCTTGTAGGATTATGAAGAGATTTATGAACAGCTTTAGGATTAAATAATATGACCATTTAAACCGGGACGAGATATTATGTAGTTCTTAGAGCCATAAAAGAATAGATTTTAATTTAAAAATGCTGCCAATATCTGTAATAAATTAAGTACAAACAAAATCCATTTTCACATAAATGATCTCATAGAACACACACGGAAGATAAATATAGAACATTTTAAACATGTTAACAAAGATGGTAGTTGAAATAGTCTTTTCAAAAAATTTATACTAATTTAAGTTTCATTTGAAATCAATTACAGAATGCGAATTTTAGGGATTATGTTTCTTTTATAGGAATTAAACATTGACCACTATAAAAGAAGGATTAATTGCATTTACAAGTTTCAATTAGTATCATCTTTTAGGTTAGACATGCATGTATAGGCTATACAAATCTATAAGTCGACTGTTTATATAGATTTGATTATTTTAAACTATAAGTTATATTTTTAAATTATTGCTTTCTTAATTTTTAAGTATTTAAATTTAATAAGATTAAATAAAAAATTGAATTACGTTTTGAATTAAGTATGTAGATGAATTTATATATATTAATTTGTGTACATTTTTAATAGAATTACAATTATTTACTAGTCAAAGTCATTATGAAATAATTTGAAAATAAATTATATATTTTTTAAGTATATAATGAAAGAAAAAAATTAAGCTACACACGTCAAAAAACAACAGATGATATAGGCTACACGTACTATACTTTGAGTACCTACTTATGTATTCGAGTAAAAAAATATGACATATATAACTTTGTCTGAAATATAGACTACGACTGACACATAAATTTTTCAAATTGTAATTAATCTGAAAAACAAACCAAGAAGAAAAAAGCCAATCAGTTCCTTTGTTATTCAATGAACTTCTCTTGTATAGGGATCAATTTGCCCCGTTACGTGGGAGCTAAGATACAAAATTTTATATAACAATTTTTAGTTTTTTAAGTGTAATTACATCAGATTTCTCATATACTTTCTAAATACACGAAAAGTCTTACACCGTACAATAAATTTTTGAAAATAGTTATATAAATGTGAAAAAATGTACAGTTTATAAAAAACTTTTCATTTTTGATGATCTCCGATTTAAAATTATATACGGGCCGTAACTTGTGCTTCATTACACGAACAAAAAATGTGAAGTTTAGAATTTCTGTCATAGCATCTGTGACAATTATCTTTATATAAATCATAGTCTTATTAATCATAATAAATTCTCTATTTAATCTCATCTGTATGAAAAAAATTTTACGTTAAATTGCAAATAATTATTAATCTGTAGATAATCTAAAGCAATAGTGTACCATTTACAGTTTTTTTACTTTAAGTTCATTTATATCTTGTATTAAAGATATTTAGAAAACATGTTGGGTCAATTGGGAACAAAGAGTTTCTTTAAACTCGTTCCTCTCCATAAATGCCACGTAGATAATCAACATCTATTCAAAATACAATAAAGCTGAACAATACAATTATTCTTTAATCCTCTTTTTTAATAAAGCACGGACATAACCTAAATCTATTTAACTCTAATCTGAGAAAACTCAGTTATATTGTAAAGAGAAATCTTAAAAATTTATTTTCTATAGTTTCTAACGTTTGACATTTAGTCAAATAGGCTACCAAATAGGTAAAATATAATTCATAGAATTCGCAATAATAGAATTAAATTTCTTAAATTGATTAATAAGGTTTCACGCAGCTTAACTGTTTCAATAACCCAGACATATTTATAATCAATATTTACAAACGACATCATAGGAAATGGTTTGACTCCCAAGAATTTAATTC